GTACACATTTGCTGCAAAGACCTTGGCGGTACAGTGGCATGGGTGGCGTGCGAATTCAGGAGTCGACTCACTGGCGGAGTGATTTTGTGCTTTCAAGTGTGGTGATGCAGCTCTGTGTGATGATGGAACGAACTTGCAGATAAACATGATGGTAGTAGACACATTTTGTGGTGGTCGCTCGAGTCACAAACAAGCGGCGACAGCGAAGCTTCAACCAGCGATGATGAAGAGGTTATGCCTGCTTCGCTTCTACATACTGTATTGCACGATCCACCTGTAGTACAGGCTATACATATCCTGATCCCGTGAAGTCCGTCACCAGAGCAATCGACAAGATAGGTCCATGTTTGCGATCAGTCTCTGGAACGTATACCTACATATGTAGAACACAAGTGGCGACAGCAGTCAGTTCCAGCTCCAATGAGTGGATTCCATCGAATGAAGTTCCATCCAGTTGGTGAGAAACCCGATCCTTGGGATATCAAGACTCGACGATTTTCGTTCGGAGAATCTCCGAGTCGGTGAGTGTTGAGTTCTGGAACCAATCACCGCTTCAGAGAGTCACAGACCGGAGTAAGCAATGGACAGCAGCAGATTACACTGTATCTGTAAAGAGTCGACGGCAGTCGCGTTGTAACGGTGCCGCTTTCAGCCAGCCGCGGCGGCGGAAGATGTGAAGATGTGAACGTGTGCCCGTCCGTCCATCCTGTCGCAATCGAGACTTGTGCGTCGTCTAGTGTCTCTCACAACTCCACGATCTGCTGCTCACACCGCTTGAGTGTGTGGCCCGGGGCCAGCGCGATTGCAAACTAGGATAGGAAGCTGTCGTTCAGCGCGTTGCGCCGGGGTCTGGTGTTCTTCACATGTCTGACAGGTCAACTTCACGGTGATTGAATTAAGAAGAAGAAGTGGCGGCGGATTTCGCAGGTGAAGGCCCTTAGTGTGCTTGGAACAAACACGATCTTGTCGCCGTTGCCTGCGTGTCGATGGTTCGAGGGCAATAGGTTGAAGAAGACATACCCGTACATCTGCGACCAGCTAAACCGGCTGGTCGATTAACGATAGGAGAGCCAGCGAACAGAGACGTTTCTCACAGTCAGCCGATTGTTGGCAATTCGAGCTTTGCTGTGGAATTTGCGAATGAAAAGCCAACATTTTGGACAGCCCCAGCTTTTGTACCTTGTGGACATCACGGATTTCATAGCAGCTTGCGCTGTTCGAAAGTAAAAATGCACCTTTTTCATCAAGACAGGAGTAATAATCCAGCTTTTAGTATGTTAGGTCTTTGCGATCTACGCTGGAGTTGTCGTGGAGATTGGCATGAGCATCGGTTGTCTCCACCGCTTGATCGCTAGGTAGTTCATTCCTCAATTTGCAGCAGCGTATTTACCACTTCTGGAAGTACTTACGCGCTAAAGAAGAACAATGGTGTCCACAACGTCCATCCTGGCTATGGCCGCGGCGGTCGCCACTACCGTTGACTACGTACAGGCTCACGGATACATCGCTAAGCCCGCTCCTTCCTGGAAGGACAAAGAGACCAACGACTGGGTTGTCGAGATTGAGCCCCAGTGGAAGGGTGGCTGGGACGAGTCCAAGGGTGACGAGGGTCTTCTGGCTACGTTCAAGGAACTCGCGCCTAAGAACAACTACAAGGATGTTCGATCGCTGATGGACGGCAACCCCGTGTACGGCGAGGACTGTGGTTTCACGGACCCCAAGGGTACCCCTTCGGAACCTCCCTCGGACGGCACGGCTACCTTCTCTCGTGGTATTGTACACGCCGGTCCTTGCGAGATCTGGTTGGACGACAAGATGGTCCTTCAGAACGACGATTGCCAGAGCGCTTACGGTGACGGTACCCAGAAGACGATCTCCGTTTTCAAACCCGTGGACTACTCGTCGTGCGCTTCGGGTGGTTGCATGCTCCGATTCTACTGGCTCGCCCTGCAACGTCTCGATGGTAAGACGGTGTGGCAGGCGTACAAGAACTGTATCCCCCTGACCGGCCCTGCCGGTGGAGGTGCCTCGCAGCAGACCCCGTCTACTGGCGGTGGCTCGGACACGTCTCAGAAATCACCCGACGAGGACCCCTCGCAGACCGCTCCTTCTACCGGCGACTCCAGCAAGAAGGAAGAGTCGGATGGCAGCAAGAAGGAGGACAAGAAGGAAGAGTCGGATGGCAGCAAGAAAGAGGACAAGAAGGAGGACACCCCGTCAGGTGGCGACTCGCCGTCTTCGCCGGAGACACCCCCGTCTGGTGGTGACTCTCCTGAGACCCCCCCGTCCGGCGGTGACTCGCCGGCCACCCCTGCTCCGGAGACCCCGTCGGCCGAAACACCCGAGATGTCTCCGGTTCCGGCCCCGAGCAGCAAATGCAACGGCCGTCGTCGCCGTCGCTACTAGACTCCGAACGGAAGGAGGAAGCTACGCGCTACAAGTGTACGTGGATATTCGTTCGGGTCTCGGTCTTAGAGATTGAGCCCGGTGTGTCGTACGAGCTGAGAGCGCGGCGAGGTGTTCACAGCAGAGAAAACAGCTAGGAGAATTGATGTTTTTCCTATCTATTGAGTGTCAACATAGTTCATGATTTCTTATAACTTTTGGAGAATTTGTTGGTTAGCTTGTCAGATTTCCACGATCAAATGTCAACCAAAAACCTCAAGACGGGGCGGAAGTACTCGCTTTTACGTGTACAAAGTCGTAGCTTAGAGGGAACAAACGCTTTTTAGATACTTACCCAGTCTGTATTGTAAAGGCCCAGCTCTTGTTGCCGTGATTCCAGATGCATCTTGGTGTCCGAAGCAGTCGCATCGTCCTCAGAGTTAATACAGGGGGGGGGGGACTAATGAAGTTAGTCTGCTCCGGTTTGGGATCTGCCCGCGACTACCGGAGCCCCGTTCTCTCTTCATTCCCGAATTTGCAGTGTCTTCTTCAGTATCTCTTCATATTCTCAAGAAATGGTGTCTTCAATGTCCATCGTGGCCGTGGCTTCGGCTATCGCTATGTCTGCTAACTACGTGCAAGCTCACGGCTACGTGGAGAACCCCGAGTCCGAATTCAAGGACAAGAAAACGTCGGAGTGGATCGTGCAGATCGATCCGCAATGGAAGGGTGACTGGGACAACGCCAAGGGCGACGAGGGCCTAGTGGCTCTGTACAAAGAACTCAAGGCGTCCAACAATGCCAAGGACATCCGCACGCTCCTTGACAGCGATACCTCACTGTACGGTGCCGACTGTGGCTACACCAACCCGGATGTGACTCCGAAGGACCCTCCAACTGACGGTACGGCCACTTTCTCCCGCGGTATCGTGCACGCCGGCCCGTGCGAGATCTGGCTCGATGACAAGATGGTGCTTCAGAACGACGACTGTCAAAGTGCCTATGGTGACGGTACCCAAGAGACGATTTCGGTGTTCAAGCCTGTGGACTATTCGTCCTGTGCGTCAGGAGGCTGCATGTTCCGATTCTACTGGCTGGCGCTCCAGCGTCTGGACGGCAAGACGTACTGGCAGGTGTATAAGAACTGCATCCCGCTTTCGGGTCCTGCCGGTGGAGGTACATCTCAGACAACCCCGTCGACTGGTGATGGCTCCGGTACTTCGCAAACTTCGACATCCAGCGGCGAATCGGAGGCGCAGACAACCCCGTCGGCTCCGTCGACTCCAACCAGTGACAACTCCAAGTCAACCGAGACTACGCCGGCCCCGGAGACCCCGTCGGTGGAGACTCCGGAAGTGACACCGGCTCCGAGTAGCAAGTGCAATGGTCGCCGTAAGCGTGAGTAGACTGCGAGTAGCAGGAGCACATAATATGTTATGTGTACGTGAATGTCCGTAGCTTTTTTTTAATCAGATAAGTTGATCTGTTGCGTCGTAAAGCTGGAGAGCATGCTATAATAGTAGTTCACTCAGCTTGGGAGATGAATCGTTAAAGTACATCGTTTAACGAGTTCATTCACACATTTGTTGCTAACACCCAAGTCCCTAGATACCGACACTAAAGAAAACAGCGCGTTATTTCGTCATCGTCAAACAATATGGAACAGCAGCTAATATAACATGCCATACGTCAACGCACTTGCTTGTATAGCCTGGAAGCCAAACGGTGTTCAAATGGTTTCGCTTGTTGCAGTCTTGCTTAGTATATCCATTTACTGCACATGTAGGATACGGGCTGTACCGATACGCCCTCGGGTCGACGCAACCAAGATGGTCGACTTTCTTTGGGCTCACAATCTTCGTTCCGCCACCTTAGCTGTTTGGTTGGTCGATCGATCGTCAAAGTCAACATGTGCTCGTATCGTTTCTCGCAGAAGGTTGACCAACGATGAGTAATTCTTGAAGAAACAAGTAATTGCAGTTCTTCATTAAAAAGCTGCTAGCTCTGCAAGTTGGTCCACGGAGGTGCTTAAACACTTTCAAGCAGCAAATAAACTCATCTAGCAAATGTCTGCTTTTTCTACGACTTAGTCAGAATTGAGCTCATGCAACATGCAGCGAGCTTTTAGCTTTCGTTAAGTGTGCCGGTTAGGAGAGTCAGCGCTGTGCTCCTGAGCTTTGCTCTACTTTATCATACTTGTACTTCGAAGTATGTTTTCCAGCACTCTGCCGACACGGCTGCTGTACGCGCACGCGAAGAATTCTGGCGATGTAGGTGTTCGAAAACATGTTGATAATATAATAGTACTCCAACGTCCTCCACACTACGCCTAAATACCAAGATGCAGCAGGTTGAAGGCTAGACGTACACTGTATCCTCCATCTGCGCTTCACGCTCGACTCGAGCTTCTTGCGGTGTGACAAATGGCATGCCTGTCAATCCAACGACCACGCGCTTCTACATGTGCAGAGCCGCCCACCGGAACGACCGGAGATGATGCATCATGTTGCTAACACGACAGATGAATCGCAAGCAAGGGAACTTCCACCACGAAAACCACGAAAACCACGAAATTTGTGCTTCCGATGAAGAAAATGGCTTGGCAAATCTTATGTTAATCGTAATAAATCGGGTTAATATGCTAGCGTTCGGCGATCTGCTCCATGCTTACGGCTATCCTCCGAGAAAATAAACTGTGTCCTCGTGTGTCGTAGCACGCTGTATTGGTCTACGAAGCTGTGAGTCCATTCCAGATTTTTCCGCAGCAACTCGCTACCTCTCGTCAGTTGTCACTGTTGTCTAAAAATCTATGGTTTCCTCGACGGTTTTCTTCGCTACCGTCGCGGTAGTAGCCACGTCCATTGGCCATGTACAGGCCCACGGCTACATGGAGAAGCCCTTAGCCGAATTCAAGGAAGGCACCGAATCTCCTTCGGCGTGGGTCGTTGAAATCCAGCCTCAGTGGAAGGGTGACTGGGACAAGGCCAAGGGAGACGAAGGTCTTGTCGCTCTCTACAAGGAACTGAAGAAGTCCAACAACGTTAAGGACATTCGTACTATGATCGACGGTGACGCCAAACTCTACGGTGAGGACTGTGGTAACACCGACCCGAAAGCGACCCCGAAGGACCCGCCGTCAACGGGTGACGCAACGTTCTCGCGCGGTATCGTCCACGCCGGCCCGTGTGAGATTTGGCTCGACGACGAGATGGTGCTGCAGAACGACGATTGCCAGAGCGCGTACGGTGACGGCACGAAGAAGACGATCTCGGTGTTTAAACCTATGGACTACTCGTCCTGCAAGTCCGGTGGTTGCATGTTCCGCTTCTACTGGCTAGCACTACAGCGTCGCGATAGTAAGACACTCTGGCAAGTATACAAGAACTGCATCCCGCTTTCGGGTCCTGCCGGTGGCGGCGGTGGTGCCTCGAACTCGACCACCTCTGGATCGAGCACGTCCCAAACTTCCCCGTCAAGCGGTGACTCGGAGTCCCCATCGAGCGGTACGTCGGACTCGCCATCGAGCGGCGCGTCGGACACCCCGTCCAGTGGTGAATCGGACTCCCCTTCGAGCGGAACGTCGGATACCCCGTCCAGCGGTGAGTCGGACTCGCCTTCCAGTGGTGAATCAGAGTCACCTTCAAGTAGTGAATCGGAGCCGCCATCTAGCGGTGAATCGGAGTCCCCGTCGAGTGGAGAATCCGAATCTCCTTCGAGTGGTGAATCGGACTCCCCGTCGACCGAAACTACCCCTGCCCCGGAGACTCCATCGGTTGAGACACCGGAGACGCCGCCCGCTTCGGACAGCAAGTGTTCCGTGCGTCGCAGACGCCATTAAACTCCGAAAGGAAGGAGGATGTGCGTGAATATTCGTAGCTCTTTGGCCATTGAGGCCGACTTCATGTCGTACAAACTAAACAGCGAAGAAAGATGTTTGTTTCATACGAATTCCACTTTTTTGTGGTGAAAAGTTTTCTGTTTCTAACAAAACACATCTAATTTGGCAATTTAATAGTTGACCGTAACGTAATGTAGCTTCGCTAAGCTCGGAACATCCCACCTCATCTCCAGGACATGCGGCTCTCTTTACCAATAGAGAAGAAGTCGCTCAATGGTTTTGCGGTTCGTCGAGGCCTCCTCCGTCATGGCGATCTGATCCTTCCTCCTCGCAATGGCCCCCGCTGCCGCCTCCATCTTCGTCGCAGAGTCCGTTTCCCGATTCGGAGCTCGTCACGGGGCAATGCCACCAATGGCCGTAACATCAAGGCTAACCTCACGGCTTAGGGCCTTGTCTTCGTGGGTCTCACATACTGCGAGAACGAGTGCTCGGTGCAATCTGTGACGGCGCAGATCCCGGTGGTCATTGAGCAAATCCGCAGCATCTTTGCCTCGAGACTTGTGAACGCAATCGTGATATCGCAAATGCATTTCTACCTCGAATTAATCGCGCTACGTCTAACGGTGACACTCAAGGCGCTACTGTTCAGGAAGGCCATGCGTCGTAGTATACAGAGCAAAGGCGGATCCAAGACCATGGACATCTCCAACCTCTTTTCTTCGGATGTTGACAGCGTGCTGTGGGCTGCCTTCCAGATTAACAATCTGTGGGTTATGTAGTAGTAGTCTACATGTTGTACGCCGTCATTGACCTCGCAGCGTTTGCCGGACTGGCAGTCATTGCAGTGTCGATGCTGGTGGGTTTTTATTATCGCTAAAGTATCGGGAAACACGTTCGAAGACATTATGACGTTTACCTGTGTTACAATGGTGCATTTACAGAAGCAGGTTGCACAGCCGTAGAGGTTGTCGAATGCAGATACTATCTGTCGGCTGTTTCGAGCGCGAAGTTATTGTACTCCCACCCGATCTTCCTGACCAGCACTACCGCTTGTGGTGGTCGCAACACCAAGAGTACCTTCTCACTTGGTTGTTCGACTCGGCTGTCGATGTCACCGTTCACTTTCGCATTTACCAGCGAGCGCAACAGAGCCTTTCAAAGCCATGGTCTCTATTACCACCATCGTGCCCGTCTTGGCATGCTTCATCGTCTCGCTGTCGCAGGTCAGCGCCCACGGCTACATGTACATCCCGCTAGCCGAATTCACAGACTCGGTCACTTCGGCCTGGATCGTGCAGATTGAGCCGCAGTGGTCGGGTGATTGGGACAGCTGCAGTAGCAGCGATGACGACTGTTTGACGACGCTCTACACTTCGCTGAAGGAGTCGAACGGCTACAGTGATATTCGTGCGTTGCTCGACAGCGACACTGATCTGTACGGAGCCAACTGTGGCTTCACTGACCCGGACGCTACGCCGAAAGACCCGCCAACCACGGGCGATGCTACCTTCTCTCGTGGCATGGTCCATGCTGGTCCATGCGAGATCTGGCTGGACGATACGATGGTGCTGAGTAACGACGACTGCCAGACTGCGTACGGTGACGGCACTCAAGATAAGGCATCGGTATTCACACCTGTGGATTACTCGTCGTGCTCGACGGGTGGCTGCATGCTGAGGTTTTACTGGTTGGCGTTCCAAGGTGTAGACAGCAAGATGGTGTGGCAGGTCTACAAGGATTGTGTTCCACTAACCGGCCCCGCTGAGGGTACGTCGACCAACTCAACGTCCTCGACATTGACGACTGGCAGCTCCACGACAGAGGACGTCTCGACATCGAGCAGCTCCGGTACTCCGGACAATTTCTCAACGACTGAGACCCCTATGACCACGACAGCGACGTCTACCTCAACATCGACAACGACAGACGCACCGACGTCGACGCCTTCACCGTCTGAGAAGTGTACTGCACGTAAGCGAAAGTGAAAAGTGGGAGACTCGAAGCATTTTGAGGATTAGTCCAAAATTCTCAGTTCAAAGCATTTGAGCCTCAAACGATATATAAAACGATCGCACCTTTCTTTCTATGCGGTTCACATCCAATCAGCGATTGCATCATCTAAAAACGGGAATTCCACGCCAAACGCGAGCCAGCTCAGATTCCGCTTGAAAAGGACTCCATCGACCACTTCCCTCTATGATATCATACTAGAGGGCTCGACCATGGAAGCACTGAGTCGACAAATTTGCAGGAGGCTCGGTTGCATTCAATTCACGTCATGTCAGGATGACAGTAATGAACGCCGCGGGGACGAGATCAAAACGTCACTTCGACTGCGCTGTCGATCCTTGTTGGAAAGGTAAAATGTATGGCCACGTGATGTTCTCAATCCAATTTTGTGAATCGTTTTACCGTACTCCGCGAGCTTTTGTGTCAATTTCTGGCAACCATATTTATTTAATGGTACGATATCTTTGATATTTAATAAGAAAAAAAATACAATCATGGTGCACAAGTTAGACTTGTGCGTTATTGATAAAGCCACTAATAACCTTTGAGCAATCGATTGTCGTCCTTATGCCGATGTGGACGGAGCAAATCCCTAACGCGCGTTGAGTCAGCTCGACGAATCGCCTCCTCGACGAGCTCTGGGCCAGAGTCTGGCCGCATGAACACCGCCCTTCAACGTTGGCTCGCATAGACGTCCATTAAAATGTAGCAGAAAGACAGCTAAACGCACGAAATGAATTCACACGATCGGCGCGTCACGAACAGAGAAAATGTTGGACCGTGTCGTGGTGTCAATCCTACTTCGACTTAAACGTCGGAATTGGGATTTGCTGTTGCTCATTCGTGAACCATTGATCTTTTGTGACGTTCCAGACTCTATAACTGATCTACTTCAACGTGTTACCCGTGCTGCTCGTCGTAGGATTTTTGGCGACTTGCATCCGTCCGTTGTCCTTTAACGCGGCGTCGTGGGATTTGCCCAAACATTTAGTTATTGGTCCGCTGGCGGTGCCGGCGGCTTTTCCTCGTCGTCCAACTGCAAGATCGTGGGCCCCGCGACCTCTTCACTCGCTTCGACGGCTGCCGTGCCATGCTGTCGCTCCTGGTAGTGGTTGTTGCACAGGTTGTCGGTGCGTTCATATGCCTGGCGCATGCAACCTTCGACCGCACAGCGTTTGCCTGCATGCGATCCAGAAGGTTATAATTTCTCGCAACCCGAAAACAAAATAAAAAACTGAACAAAGGACGTACCGCCACCGTGGGCCCAGCACAGCCCGTTGGAAATTGCGATCTTCTCGCAATTGTCGGTCTTGCACTTTGTGCCACCGCCATGAGACCAGCAAAAACCGCGCGACTTGGCGCGGTTGATGCAGCTCGGAACCTTGCATTCGGTCGAACCACCTATTAAAAAACGATATAGGAAAAATATGAGATTCTGGTACTGCAAAAAAAAAAAAACTGGTAAGCTATTTGACATGCCATGTTTCCAACATCGGCCTTGGTGTTTCGCTCGACTGGTGCAGCCCGGAGCCTGGCATCGTTTACCACCCTATTCAATGCGCAGGTAAGCCAAAATAAAAAATTAATCCGTCATCCAAAAACATTTTTTTTGCTCAGCCAAAAATGAAGCATTCAGCATGAGCAAAGCCGCATGAAAAGTTGGCACGTGAAGAAATGGATAGTACGTACTCCATGGCGGACGCACAGTCCCTGGTCCACCACGTACTGCTCGCAACCTTCATGTTTGCAGATACGACTGGGTGGTCTCCGTGCCCGACGCTTTCCATCGGCGCTTTGTTTGCCACCAGCGCGACCAGCACGACCCGTAGCCGCCGCGATTGCGTCTCCAGTTAAATCTCCTGTGCTTCTGCTTCTCGCGATTAAAGCAGCGGCCCGTTTGTCTCCGAATATGTCGTCACCTAAAATTGTAGACGAACGCAGTAACTTAGCGTATTGTGACGAAAAATTAATACATGACCCGCCAATCTATCGCGGTGCTTACCAGCGGCTGCCGCAGACGCAGCCTGGTCGTCCAGAATGAAACTTAGTGAGGATTTACTGAAGCTGCCGTCGTCCTGAGGTGTCGACGGGTTCGCGTAGCTGTTCGTTCGTCTAACTTTATGCCTACTGCTGTCGGAGCCGGTTGAGCGGGGCTGCGCCGGTGTCTGAGCTACAGTCTCTTCACTGCTCTCGCTTGCGACGCGAAGGTTGCTAAGTGCACTCCAGTTCTCCTCCGTCGATGCTGTAACCTGTTGCTCGGCTGCACTGCCAGAGTCGCGCTTAACGCCGCGTGTAGGCGTCATCGTGGTCACGTCCTGGTTTCCTGTTTCTCCTGTTGCCTGTTGGGCGTCTTCGCCCTGTTCTCGACGCTCCATTTGAACGCCGATTTCCCTGCCTGCTTCGGCCTTAACGATGATGTGACAGTCTGCCTGTGTGCGGTGTTGAGGATTTCAAACACGAGCAAACCACGCGCAAGTGTAAGTGACTTACGCCAGCAGGTGTTGCGCCTGGAACGGCTTGTAAGCCAGCTGGAAGAGGAAGCCAAGCCCCCACTCACGCGTTTGCTCGCGGCTTGGGAAGTAAAGGTCCTGTGCTCCGAAGTCGAGCGTCAAGTTTGATCTTGCTTGAGCTTTCAAGCTTCACGAGACTTTGTTATGCACGTCGAGGCGTCGTCTTCCGCCGAGAACCGCCGCCCTTTTCTTTGTGAAGAGCTTGAAGCTGCTTCACTTGGCCGAGGAGCCCCGCGACCGAACGAAACGAAAAGCTCAGGGCAGAGGCGTCGGACGATGGTCCACCCAGGTTCACAACTGCAGCCTACACTTGGGAACGCTGAATCCCCGCCAGCTGCCTTCCTTCCTTCTCCCCTTCCACAAGGCACCGCGAGTATTGCTGGTTACTCACAACCCTGGGGCTAGTTCTTACGGCGAAAATGCTACGCTGGACGCGACTGAGAAAGTCCCGCGTAGCGCAGCAAAAAGGGAATCCAAGAGTGAGTTAAAGTCTCTGCGGGCTGAGCAACAAAGACTGATGAGTGGCTCTCAGTGAGTCTCACACAACAACGCGTCGACGAACTGCGCGGGGATACTGTACGACAAGAACGCAGCTACATTTTCTGCAATAACTGGATTCAATAGTTGTGGAGCCGCACGCTACAAGAGCATCTTATTCGAAGAAGGATCATACAAACACCAAATGATGGTTCAAGTTATTTTAGTAATTGCGCTTGCTAAAGTGAAATGCTGCGCAAAGCAGGGCTCGCTAAAAACGCGATTTTTCGGGGCTAAACTTCAAGTTTAACGTATGTCGATCAGGATTTTGTAGCGAACGGATGCTGTTGTTGTTGCTTGGTCGTATCGGAGCAGTGTGCACGTGTATTTGGCGCTTGTGCAGGTAGTGTAGGCTTTGGAGGGCTTTCGAGCGACAAACTGACGACGCCCATGTTTTTTGGTGAAACTCCGTTGGATAGCCCCTCGTCGGTGTGACTACGATTCGCGTACGTGAACCAAAATGCAATCACGCACAAATCCAATTGCCGCAACTTCTCGTCAAGTTTGGTATAACGTCGAAGTTTGCCATGATTTCTACTTAATACTGCCGTGAGGCCGGACAAGTGGTCAGCTGCATTGTTCAACGACCATTCTGCTAAAGGTGTGACAACGTGCACTGCTGCCATTTTCGCGCTTTGTTTACGAGAGCGAGCTTCTGCAGCTCAAACATGCACGCAATTTTCTCCTCGCGCAGACCCTATCAGCTGTACTGTGAATCAGATGCGAAACAGAGAAGAGCGCTTCTGCATCAGCGAAGTACCTGGCACTTTGTTTTCGAACTCATTGTTGGCACTGTCACTTCCTGGCGAATGGATATGATACCACGTGCGTTTTCTACAGCTATCGTCGTTAGAAAGAAATCCAGTAGCGTTCCCTTGATAGCTCGCAGGTTGTCGTTCCTGTTTTTTTTCTTATAGTACCTCCAGTCTCTAACTTGTGCTCATCAAGTCTCTCATTCTTGCGCACTTGTGTTGTATTGGGAAATCACCACTCGGATACCAATCACTCGTAAGCTATTCTCTACATGTACATTCATGAACTGATCTCATTTCGGTGTACTTCATCATCAACTACTGTAGTTATCCAGCGAAGACGTTGGCAGCTCATGACGAAGGTCCGACCTCGGTGAAGCAGCAGCTCTAGGGCGGATAAGTCCGACCCTGGGTGCCCACGTTCCCTGCCCGCAACAAGCGATATGTTGTCGCATGCACGATCACTGCGGTTATTTGGCGCCAGTGGGACCGCCGGACTCATTACGGACTTGATCGTCATCGAGGACGTGACGCTTAAAGTGAACACCGGATATATATCCCTTGCTCACAAATCTGTCAAGTAGATAGATGCATCTGCGACTATTAATATCTTCCGCCCCCTGACTCATCCGAAGGTGCAAAAGGCCGAATTGGTAAATAGTATTTACTAAATACGCATTATCCAACATAGACACCGTCGAGCAACGATTGGACATCAACCTGAAGTGCAAGCCATGTTGTCATTGACCATATATATACCTTTGACTCCAATGTTTCGCGCAATGGTCAATACTTGCAATGATACATCTACTGGGATTTTCTCCTGGCACTGGCAATACTATCGAGTTGGTAAAAATGTCCAGCAAACCTTCGCAGTACGAAGTCGATTTAGTTGGCAAATATTGGAGTATTTGCCAAGTCGAAGTAGAGTATTTGCGATCGCTAAGTTCCTTGAAGCTCGAAGACGAGAAGAAACAATCACACACAAAAAATAATCTGATTGCACTTCGAGGTTTTTTGTTATTATAAGAAAGATTTTTTTCATAAAATAAAATAAATTTCAGCAAGTTTTGTCAATTATTTTTTCGCGCAACCTTCGCGCGACCACATTTCTTTTACTTTACAGTTTGCTTAATACCATTTCCTCGACGCCATGGCCTCGACCCGACCGATGTTCGCCATGCTGTGCGCTAACAATGTGAACCGCAGCACAGAGGCGCACGACCACCTACATGCCGCGGGTCTACGCGTGTGTTCTTTCGGCGCCGGCAACCGCGTGCGTTTCCCCGGTCCGTCGCGCGACGATCCGCGGATCTACGAGTTCTTCACACCCTACGAGACCATGTACCGGGAGCTCAAGGCCGAGAACGCCGAACTGTTAGTCTACTTTACCTCTAATACTTGAATTCACTATCGATCATCCTGTAAATGACAAAAGTTGGTACTGAACAGATTCAAGCGCAACGGCGTGTTGTCCATGCTGGAGCGAGATATGCTGACCAAAAAGTGTCCGCAGCGCTGGCAGGACCTCAGCGTCAAGGAGCTACAGGGCCTGGATGTGGTGCTGTGCTTCGACGACCGCATCTTCGAGATCGTGCTGGAGGACCTGCAGCTGCGCGGTGCAGCACAACCCACCCGGTCTGAGCCCACGATGGCCTGGAGGCCGCTGCATTTGCTCTGTCTCGACACTAAAGACACACCGGAACACGCCAAAGTGGGCGGTTCATTAGCATTGGAGCTATGCCAGGCGGTAGGTTGATGCTCAGATCTGTTATGACAAAAGTTGATACTAACGTCCATGCTGCTAGATCGACGTCCTCAACAGTCTGGACGACGGCATCATCGACGCCATCCAGGACTTCGAGAGTCGGAAAAACGTGCACTTACTGTACTCGCTTATGCACGTGTAATTAAACCACTGTTACCTCTTCCACTTGCTGATGATAGATTGACTCGCTTCAGCCTGCTGACTCCAGCGACCAAAGTCAAAGCGCGGGCGTGCAGGAGCGCGAGGTTGTTCCTCTGCGTGCTGACTTTGCTGTACACCTCGACGATAATCGTCCATGATATCCAGATCTTCGTCCTCAACTTCGTGCCGAGGAATCGACGACGGTATAAACGGCTGCGACGGAGGATCCTGACGCCGCTTCTTGCCACTCCCTTCTGACGGACTTGTTGGTCGTTTTCTTCTCGGAACCTGCTGCTCTTCTGTTCCAGGAACGTACAGATCTCCAGCAAACTCGCCGTGAACGTCAGCTTCTTCGTACTCTTCAGCTGCTAGCGGGAAACTGTTGACAGGGTCGGGTCTTCGCTGTGAAATGCTCACTGGTTGACTGTTTGTTGTGCTCAGTTCTTGTAGCAACAGATAGTCGAGAACGAGTTTCTCTTGCAGTGCGTACTCCTCCTCTGGATTATCGGAGAAGTTGGAATGCAACACAGACTCGACGCCGCCTTGTAACATATCGGAGCAGTTGTCCGTCGACTTGCTCACTTCCATGACGAAAACAGCAACTACCGCGTCCATGACCGCGACTTCGGCATGACACATGAGTCGTGCATGGGCTTGTGCGAGTCGCGTGAGACTCTCCAGTAGTCGGATCGTTGTCCGCGCGGCACTTCGACTGTCCGACGCTCGCTGTCTCTGGTAATACCGCTGCAGAATGAGCATCGCTCCACGACTTAACTGCGGTTGGTACTTGTCTTTGACATGGCAGATATACGCCTGTAACTTCTGGATACTCCACAGCGTCGAGTCTTCCTTTACTGCTCGAGGTTCTCGCTTATCAAATGACGCCTCAGCTTCATCGCGTTCGGCCTCTTCTTTCATACTGGTACTCGTTCCAACGGCCTGTTTGAGGATGAACGAGGACACGACCTGGTCCCAGCGTGGGTTCATACGGTCCAGCAGCACCAGGATGAGGTCGAAGCGACTGAGCAGCGGGCTGGCGATGCTCGTGTTCACTGACACGTCGGTGGTTGGATCGTACCGGCCTTTCGGGTTCGTCACGGCGAAGATGGTAGTACGCGCGTTCAACTTGCACACCAGTCCGGCCTTCGCCACGCTTAGCGTTTGTTGCTCCATCGCCTCGTGGATGGACGTGCGATCATTGCTACGGATACTGCTGAACTCGTCGATGCAGCACACGCCACGATCCGCCAGAACTAAAGCTCCAGCCTCCAGCATCCACTCGCCACCGTCTTTGACGGCCGTGCAGGTCAGACCAGCGCTGGTGGTTCCAATCCCTGTTGTCAGCACGGAACGTGGACTCAACTCCGCGGTAAACCGCAGGAACTGCGACTTCCCGGTGCCCGGATCACCGATCAGAAGCATGTGCGGCTCACCTCGCGTCTTCATGCCCGTCTCATCCACGTACGACACGCCACCGATAACTGTGAGCGCTACTGCAAGCTTGACGATGAACAGCCCATACACTTTGGGACAAATACTGGCAACAATCTCGTTGCGGCCACGCACGGGATCGCGCTTGTGTTTCGTCCAGAACTGCGCGAATTCGGCTCGTAATTCTTCTGTTACCATGACTTGAGACGTCGAGGCGTTCTTGATCCGGATACTATTGGCGTTGATCGTGGTCTCCAGGTCGCACCGCACACCTCGGACGCACGGCTTCCACGTACGCATCAAGATCCCCACGACCACGACCTGATCTCCAGCCTTCACCGAGTCCACCAGATCGTCTTCTAGCACCACTAAAATCGAGCGTGGAATCGACCCAACGCCCAACTTGGACGCCTGTTCCTGGATCTTGATGACCTGGTGGTCCGACACGACGCTGCTGTCTGCGCCTCCTACAGGCATAAACTGCGTCGACTTGCATGGCTTCTTACCGCCACTACTGGTGTCTCCTGTACTGTCGGATGGACAAACTTTCTGCAGCCCAAATAGCCAGGTTAATACGCTCCAAGTGTTCTATATCTCCGGTCCACGTACCGGGATCTCTAATACATTGCCCTGTTCCGGGTCCGATTTAACCAGAAATCTGTGTCCACAGCGTGCGTTGCAACATTGATACTCCCTCTCCATCTCCTGCATCTTGATCTGCACAACAGACTCAGCTACAGTCTCTCATTAGCGCGTGTGTTCAGCTATCCACGCACCATCCCCGTGCGCACTACAGTGCCGGCAATTTGAATCAATTGCTTGACGTCATTGGACCGGATCGCACTGATCGCGGGCTTGCGTAGCGGTGGCACCGGCGGCAGGTTCTCGATGCGCACCTTGAGCTTCCGTCGCGCCTTGAGCGGGATGGACGGCAATCCGCCGCCTTCCAGTGGCTCGCCGGCGTTACAGCTCACCTCTTTGGCCAACGCGCAGTGGAAAAGCGGCAAAAGCTGCTCCGGGTGGCGGAATAATAGCGTTCCAAGCTGCGCATTGAAGTCGAGCAGCCGCTGCGCACACACGCGTTGGCTGTAGGCCAGTAGACTCTGATCCGAGGTCTCGTTGACGGCGGCGAAGGGCATCGAGACATGGCGCAGGCGGCGGTGTAGCTGCTGGAGGTCTGCGCGGTAGTAGCGACGCAGGAAACGAGCGAACGCCGCCTGGTACTCGGGCGCCAGACGCTCGAAGCGCGCGCCCGTGGCCTCGTCATCATATGCCTCGGACATGGTGAACGGGTAAATGTTGACTTGGTTTTTGTAAGGAAAACAGACTCGTCGACCACCAAGACAATAATTGAAAACCATTTTCTTATTATTGGTACGGTACTGCTAGTGATGTCTTCTCTTCGACACCGGTTGAGTCGTGAGTTCCTCTTGCCCACGATATTGACTGTCTACGCACTACCACGGCCGAGCATGAAGGCAGACTTGCAGTCTAGTGAGCAGAAATCCGCATATTGTCGACTCATACTCAGCGGTGAGAACTTGCGTTGGCACATCCGACAGATTTTCCACCTGCCGTCAGCGAGAGCGCTGCCTCCGCCCGAGCTGTCAGTCCACTGATCGAGCTGAGCTCCTGATGGTGTCCGTGCGAAGTGGTTGCACTGCGTCGACGAACCTGTGAAGCCTCTACTGGCGCCGGCGAGCGCTACGGGTTGCAGTTCTGTGGTTTCCATGGCCTTGCGCGATCGCTTGGAGCGCAGCTTACGCAGCGACAGCTTGGACGCCACCCACCGCGTCTTCTCCTGAATCACAGACTTGATGTCGAGACCCATGGAGCACGTAAAAAAGAATGACTTGACTGACTGGTTCGGCACGAATTGCAATGTGGCGGTGCCCACACGATTGGGGTCGGAACTGTCGAGTTCGAGTCATGAGGGAGCTTGGGCGTTCACAATCATTTTGAGAATTGGACGGTTCGATGCAAAACGGAGAGTTTGTGGATCTCGGACGTCTTCGACGCTCCTTTGACGCTGGCATGAGCCAGCTGGACGACGAATATCCATCCACCATGCGCCAGATGCAATTACATACTTCCATGCCTCTGACGGAGTGGCCGCACACTTCAACGTCAAGTAGAAAGCACTTTAGCGTTGCTGGACGCCGATCTGCCTGTCATCATCTGCGAGGTGCATTAGTGGTAGACTTGCTCGAACAGTGAGCTTGGTCCATGATGAAAAGAATCGGCCACTATCGGACATCGTTCATTGAGATAATACAAGCACTTTATCCTTTTGCTCCCTTTAGACTACGACGAAGGGATGTTCGCAAGAGCGTGATGGAAGCTGACAACTGCAAGAAGCGTTCCAACCAGCAAATGCGTCTCCAACAGCAACCACTCGGTCATGATTTACAGAAGCCGATGCTATTCCAGCCGTACATGAAGGCCACCTCCGCCACCTTCACCACCTTCGTCAGCGCGATGGTCCACCACATGCCCAGATCGGAGTGTATTCACCGACTCTCTCGCTCTCGGCCAATCTCAAGTCTCCTTCAGCATGCTAATCCCAAGTCGTTTTCGCGAAACCTCGGAATAGAGTGGAGCAGTGATTCCCAGCCGGCAGTGATGAAAATATCGGAGACCGTTCTGAGGAGGAAGCTCTAAACTCTGGTGACACGCGCTGCATTTCGCTCTCGACAACCGTAGCTAGATAGATCCCCATGGACGTCTTCGCCAACGCTGTCGGCGTGCGCCCACCGGCGCCCATCGTGCTTCTGGACGAGGAACAGCAGCGTATCATTCGCGACGGCCAAAGCCAGCGAGGTCAGCCGCCGATCGATGACGCGCAGCCATCGCGTACCGGTTCATCCGGCAACGACGCACTGTTCGTGCCCACAACGCCCCCCATGCTGCCCATTCCGCAACACGTAGCACCGCAAGCACCGCCGCCGCCCACGACCACCTACCTACGCACCGACTTTACGACGGGACGGCGTCCTGCTGCATCCGTCACCACTACGAACACTCAGAAGTCTCACGAACTGGGCGATGGCATCCGCACCAACTTCACCACCAACCGCCAGAATCCGAACCCGGTCGCGGCGTTCATGAAGGAAAACGCGCCGGATAATTCCTTGTCGAATTCTCTGTCGGCTCCGACGGACTACGCCAATGTGGAACCCACGGCGATGCCGTTCATCTCCAGTACAGACCCCCCACCGGAAGATGCCCGACCGGACCCGACCAGGGGCTTTCGAGGCAACGGCACCAACCTCAAACTGTCGGTCAGGTACATGATTATTGGTGCCATCGTCGGTATCGCACTGGGTATCGTGTTCGCCCACGTCGGCGTGTCGGACATCACGGCGCAGTGGATCTCGCTACCCGGCGACCTGTTCCTGCGAGCTGTTAACGCTCTTGTTGTGCCCTACGTGTTCTGTTCAGTAGCCGTAGCTGTGGGAGATATTGTTTTCGTAGGCAAAGTGTCGATCGTCGGACTTCAAACACTCAAGATCTTCGCGACAGGGTGGGTGGTCTCGACAGCATTGGGTATCAGTGTGGCCTTCGTCTTCCGTCCACTCTTCCGACTCAAGAACAAATACGCCAGTCCAGATGCTAATGCTGTGGGGTTGACGTGTCCGAACGGCTTGATGCTGGAAATGCTGAGCAACAGCAGTATCACGTGCTCTTCGAACGCTACCGCGTTGTCATTGGATAACGCCTTCGTTCTGGACGACGTGAACGACGTCTTTGAGACGAACAGCGACGCGGTCATCACCGACCTGACGCTAAGCAAGCAGCTCATCTCGACGCTAGAGTCCGTGGTACCGGACAACATCTTCTCCTCTCTGGCTGACGGCGATCTACTGGCTATCATCACCTTTGCCATGGTACTGGGTTCAATCGCAGGGCGAAGCTACTTCTCCAAGACCCGTCGGGTGAACTACCTGTACCTGGTGCTACTGCAGCTACGTAACACCTTCTTCCTGGCCATGGAGTGGGTTATCTGGATCACACCTGTCGCCGTTGTCTCCACCATCTCTGGAGCTTTTGCGTCTAACCAAGACGCTGTGAGTCAACTCCCCAAGGTCTACATGTTCTTGGTGGCCTGCATCTCAGCCGCGGCACTGCAGATCCTGGTCGTATACCCGTTCGTCATCTTCCTGCTCGCGCGATGCAACCCGTACGCGCACATGCACCACATGATCCGGTCGTATCTGTTCGCATTCGGCTCTTCGTCGTCACTGGCCACTGCTCCCGTGACTCTCGGCTGCGTCCAGAAAGCGCGCGTGTGTTCGCAGTCGATCGCCACCTTCGTCGTCTCTATCGGCGTCGTCACCAACATGTCCGGGTCTGGATGGTACTATCCCATTGGTATTATCTTCCTGGCCGAGTCGTCTGGCAACGGCGACGAACTCACGTTCCTACGTCTCGTAGCAATCTTCTTCCTCACGATCGTCGCCTGTGCCGGTACGCCGCCTGTGCCGAACGGAGGTATGGTGCTCATGTCCACCATGTACAAGACCGTCTTCGGCGTCAGTACGCTGCCATCGACATGGGCGCTGTACGTCGCCCTGGATTTCTTCGCAGACCGCCTGTCGACTATCTGCAACGTCAACGATGACATTATGGCGCTCAAGGTCATCGCAGAAAACACGGACGAGACGGTGGCAGGAGACCATCTCGGCCAGCGCAACTAGCTCTTATTAGTACAGTTTGATCTCTTTTTTCGTTCTGTGGCACATTAAATAGTTCGATTATATGTATATCTCCGCTTCGATGGAATTGAGGCTTCAATGCTGGGAAGTAATATACACTGGACAGGTTTACTTGCGCTGATTGCCGTCGTTATCGCCGTGATCGTCGTATGAACCAAAACCCGACTAGCGAGGCGAGGCCACCCAGACCAAAACGTATAATCTCAAGATACTTTAGACAACTTGGCGTATCAACAAATGACATCAAGCACAACCTACCTTTTGCTTCGTATGTTCTCGATACTTGGCCAGTTCTTGGTGAATGGTAGGCGAGAGTGGATGTTCCGAGGCCTGGAGAGTTGCAACCGAGGAAGAGCCGATGATCCACGGGTGTTCCAGCACTTGTTTCATGCTGAAGCGATCGTCAGGGTCCAGTACTAATAAATGTCGTACGAGATCCTTGGCGTCGTCACTGATGGTAGCCCAGCCGTCGTCGTCGAACTCGAAGCTGCAGGCTTTGATGCTCGCAATCATCTCATTGTCCGACCGCTCGCCTTCCGGGTCGAACGGGTGATAGCCACAAAGTAAAATGTACAGAATCGTCCCCAGACTCCACGAGTCCACCTTGTCATCATAGCCAAACGCCGATCCTGACCCGGAAATCATCTCGGGCGCAGAATACCCCCACGTGCCGCATTTGGTCTTCAGATTGGTGCCTGCAAAGATCTTGGCGAGTCCAAAGTCTGCCACCTTCACCACCGCATCATGTTCGTCTGCCGTCGACAACAGAATATTCTCCGGTTTCAGGTCTCGATGCACGATGCCACACCTGCAATAGTAACAACAAGATCAGCAACTTTAGCCACATTCCTCGACGCCTGTGCACCTACTCGTGGAGATACTGCACAGCGCTTGCCATGTCCCGGACGTGGCGCACACAGTCCGCCTCTGAGTAGGCGCCTTTCTCAGCTAGTCTCTCGAACAGCTCACCACCTGTACAGAGCTCCAGTACCAGATGCACCTCACGCGTGGTCTCGAACACGTCGATGAGCTCCACGATGTTCGGGTGCTGCTTCACGCGGCGCAACGCCGTGATCTCGGCGCGCAGACGCTTGGGGTCAGTCATGAATCGCTTGACCTTCTTGATGGCGACAGCGCGGCCCGTGCGGCGGCAGCGGCCGCGACAGACCGTCGCGTAGTGTCCTCTGTCTCAACAACCGAAATGTTAGCGATTCTCGGCTTCCAAAGCTCGTAATTTACTGCAGAAAACGAAAGCAAGTAGCGCACCGTCCTAGCAATTCGGTCTGCACGTCGTAAAACTCCTCTACGCGACGGCGCGGGGCCGCGGGGCTCGCAGCTACAGCAGGCGCGGAAGGATCTATGGAACTGGACGGTTCGCGGGCTCCAGCGGGCGGCTGAGACTCGGAGCTGCTCGATTCGACGGCGTTCAGCTCCGGCGGCAAGCTCAGCACGCGCGCATTGTTGCTTCCGTGCATCGCTGGCAGCGCTGAGGCCTCCTCCGATAATAGCGCCGAAGGTTGGTTGCCCATCAGGTGTCCGGTAGAAACTATAGAAATGCGCTGCTTGGGTTGCATTACGCAACATCTGGGCAACTTTCAAGCAACTCAATTGAAATGGCTACATTTTGATGCCACGTAAGGTATCCAATACAAAACTGCGATGGACGAATATGACGAGTACGAGCCTGTAGACCGGCTGGAGCTGCCGCCGGCGCCGCGTTCGCTGTGGGACTTTGTGAACGTATTGACGCCCGTACTTAAGTACTACGTGGCGCTGTTGGTTTTGTTTCTGGGTGCGCGCTGGTTCAACCAGCAGCTGGACAACGAGGCGGCGGCGCAGGAGCGAGAAGCGCAGCAGCAGCGGCCCACATTGTCTCCCGAGCTGACTGTAGAGAGCTCAGAGGAGGAGGAGGAGGAGGAAGAAGATAGCGAGGAAGAAATCGAAGAGCTTGTGACTGATGGTGACCGTCTCGTGCCGGTGGGCTCCAAGAAACCTAAGAAGAAGAAGCCGAACCCGACGAAGGAGCTGTTCGACGGCCTGCGTAAAGTTGAGCAGGAGCTGCGTGACAAGAAAGACAAGGAGAACGCCGAAGACAACGTGAGCTGGAACGAGCTGCACGCCAGTATGCTCAAGCGCTACAAGGACAAATACCCGAACCATGGCCCGCGGGTGGCCGACCCCGAGACAGACAAGTACGACGAGGAGTTCAACGAGCTGCTGCGCAAGAACAACATCAACCCGGACGATCTTAAGAGCCAGAGCGCCAAGAAGACCGAGTGAGTGTCGGTAGAAGCCATGCATGTTTATTCATGAAAGGTGAGGTGTCTAGAATTTGACCCGCTTGGGGTGCGCTCTGCTACTTTTCTTGGGTTCTTTTTCCTGTTTGTCGCTGTCGTCTTCCCCGTCAAGACCGAGTTGGAACGAGTCGAGCGCGTCTCCTGTTTTATCGCCCGTGTCGACGTAGTCCTCGTCACCGTCCGCGAACGTGGTCTTCTTGTTCTTCTTCTCGCCGCTACTGCCGTCTGCCGAGATATTGCCGACCGGGCAGTCACGCGCCAGGTGTTCGATACTCTTGCAAACCTTACAGCAGCCGCCCTTGGGGTACACGCCCATCTTGTTCTGTGGGCACTTGCTGCTGAGGTGGCCTTGCTGGCCGCATACGAAGCACGTGGCATATGTGGTGCCGCCGTTCTCCATGGGTTTGGGACAGTCGCGCAGTGCGTGGTCGTCGGCGCCGCAGTTGAAGCAGACAGCGGCCTGCTGCTGGTGCTGACCACCAAAGCCGCCCTTGCCATTCTGCGGACAATTGTGCGACGTGTGACCGCGGCGACGGCACTGGAAGCACGTCTTGTTCAAGTCACCGGCCGCGCGGTTCGGACAGTCCTGTTTGCGGTGCGACGTCTCGCCGCAAAGCCAGCAGCCGTCCTCGCCGCTGTTGCCGTTGCTCTGTGCCTCCTCGCGCTTGGCGCGGATTTTGGCCACAATCTCGGCCTTCTTCTCGCGGCGTGCCTGCTGCTTCTGCTGTTTAAACTGCTTGGCCTTGGCCTTCTTAGCCTTGCGCAGCTCGCGCCGCTTTTGCAGGATCAGCTTGCGCTCCTCGGACAGTTCTTCCGCCATGACAATCAATTGAGCTTTGGTTGGCTGCAGCAAAAAAATATTGATCTCTCCGAATTTGTACTTACTATGAGAGATCATAATTGCCAGTTTTTAGCATTTTACCAATTTTGAGAGATCATTTCCCGGTTATCATCATCCTCGAGCAATGCGGGTGGTGTGCGTGTCGGACACGCACGGGCTGCACGAGGACGCGCTGGACATCCCAGACGGCGACGTGTTCGTCCATGCGGGCGACTTCACAGACACGGGAGAGCGTAGTGAAGTGGTGGCCTTCAACGAGTTCCTAGGCCGCCTACCGCACCGCTACAAACTGGTAATTGCGGGAAACCACGAGTCGTCTTTTGATCGCGCGTTCTACCCGAAATTCTGGCATCAATATGGCCACAGACAGCAGTACGACCCAGACGAGGTGCGCGCTCTACTCACCAACGCGCTGTACCTCGAGGACCAAGCCGTTCTAATCGAAGGGTTCGTCTTCTACGGGACACCCTGGCAACCAGAGTTCTGCAACTGGGCCTTTAATCTACCACGAGGCGACGCTCTACTCAAGAAATGGAGACACATTCCCACGGACACAGACGTGCTCATCACACACACGCCCCCCATGGGGCACGGAGACCTCGTCGGCTATCAGCGTGTAGGCTGCGCTGATCTACTACGAGAAGTGGAGCATCGAGTGCGTCCCAAACTGCACGTCTTCGGTCACGTACACGAAGGCTACGGCCGTAGTGCCAGTCCAGATGGAGCCATCACGTACTTCAACGCATCTATCTGTACGCACAACTACGAGCCCGTGAACGCACCGTTCGTATTCGAATTGACAGGTCCACCCAAGCGAGGCTGGCCGAAACACACGTTGCCATTAACTACGCCATCCTCGACTGGTTTGGGCATGCACCGCAGCTTCAGTACGAACGATGTGAGTAGTATCAGTAGTTTATCCACCACAGAAGACGAGGACGTTGACATGGACGCAGGTTTACCGACCGAAGCGGAGCCACGGGACTACGATTTGATGCTGCACGAGTGGCTGCGGTTGTGTTCGCATAAACCGCCATTTATCGAGAAGAAACTGGTGGAAGTGGAGACGTGTGAGGTTCATACGAAGGGGAAGCTGCGCGAGTTCCGTGTGGATGGCACGACGTCGGGTTTGCTGTTCGAGAGCACGTTAAAGTTGCGTCCTGTGACGAACGTACAGAAGCGCGTGCTACGGTATCTCTTCTCGCAGGGATTTCGGAGTAATTCGGAAAATTATAAGGCTGATGATGAAGACGAGAAGGAGAAAAGCAAGGAAGATACCACGAGTATGGAGGTTGATAGTGAGAACAATAAGCCGACAAAGGAGCGAAGAAATTACGGTATTTCGCGTCGTGTGACGGTCGCTGTACTGGACGATATTGACGAGGACAAGGAGGGAATGGACGATCGAGATCGAGAGCATGTGCAGCAGGCTCGAGTAGCTGCGGCTGCTCTGGGTAAAGAGACCGCTCAGGACACAACAGGCGAAGGTGCACAGTCTCGACGTCCGCGACGTAATAAGACTTTGCAACGACGATCAGCGGTGCCGATGCTGGCTTCACTCACGGAGGAACCAGAAGAAAGTAGTACCAGCACAACGGACATTCCTGCTGCACTGCAGAAAACAAGTGAAGAAGTGGTTGTCTCCGAAACTATCGTCGTTGTTGAGTGCGTGTTGTGTAAGTACAAAGTCTCGGGCCACGTTCATCCTGAAGCGCAACCTCCACCACCAGCCCCAGTTGTTGAATGCGCGTTGTGCAAGTACAAAGTCCCGGGCCACGTCCATCCCGGAGCGCAGTCACCGCCACCAGCTCCTATTGTGGATGTGCCAAAGGAAGGAAAACAAGAAGAGAAACAGAAGAAACCAAGTGAGACGCGTTCCAGGACTGAAAACCCGCCACCCAAGCGCTTGTCGTCTTGGTTTTAATGGAGACACGTTTGCATGATAGAAACATTGACAATAACTTGCATGTGGGAGCAAAATATTGAGTGGGGATTTGAGCACCAAGCATGCAGCTATGAATTCGGTGTTGCCACCGCTGCAACTAAGCCCCCTGTTGTTTCGTGCATGGACGATAACGACAATTCAAGCGGGTGTGGGTACACCGACCACAGCGCAAATGACTAGCGATCGACAACACGCCATTGATGGCACGTGAGCAATTTCGCAGTGCCTCAAGCATTTGCCTTTCGTTTGTTTGACATACTTTGGATTTGAACACACCCGGTCTCCAACGCGCGGCGACGATTCCCATAGCACGCGATATTGAAAAGCGCTCGGTCACGGCGTTTTCTTCACAGAATCTACTTTGAAAGACCAGGGATTTTGACGAGGGTGACAATGTACATTACTACGTTGTACATGCGAGGATGAAATGCATGACGGTCATCATCGACTGGATCTGTATAACCTAAATGAGAGAAGTAATATGCGTGAGATAAATAGCTTAGTTGACGACTGTGGCGTGTCTGATAGTATTGTGCTTGACACCGGAGGTTACTACTTCGTCGAACTACCAACGAGGAGACGTGGAGGGCGTACCAATGCTATCGCGTTGAGCGACTCGAACGGAGTGGAAGAGCCCAATGCAAGTGGCAGTATTGGATTCATGCCCTTGTGTCACCTTCCAGTTTTGTGTGTGGTGACCTAACACCATGTCGATAGGACTTCCCCTTGACTTCGACCGCTTAGTGCAGCTTGCGTGAGAACACAACTTGACTTTACCGTGTGCAGTACACTTGCCTTTCGCTTGGGCTCTCCGCACACATCCCTCCTCGGTGCATTGTGCCCCCTCCACCATGTGCAAAACACTTTCCTTTAGACACGACTCGGTAGCTGCTACCTGGAAACTCGCAGGTTCTAAACCCACCGTGTGCTGCACATTTGCCATTCACTTGAACTCTCTTCACACACCCGTCGTGTGAGCATTGGTAGCCCCCACCATGGGCGAAACACCGTCCTTTGGCGTAGGGGAAGTTAGTACAATCCTCTTGCGTACATTGACGTTTTCCTCCGTGTACATGGCATAGACTTTGCCAGGTTCGTGCAATCCGGATGAAAACATCTCTTAACTCCACCCATTTGCCACTCAATCGAGCTCTCTTCACACACCCTTCGTTTGAGCACTTTCCTTTGTCCCAACCGTCTCCATGTTCGGAGCACTTTCCTTTTTTTTCGAGACACAAGTTTGCCTATCAAGCAAGTTTCCTAGCGGAACAGGAGTGCACGGCACCATTCGCTTCCTTGCTTGTAGCTCGATTCTCCTTCTCTGTGTCTGTCTTGTGTCGTTCAAATGGTGCTCCAGACGCTGTTAACGCGACTTGAGCGAGTGCAATTGGCATTGTGATCCCCGTCGTAGCTTGCTTCTCCACATCTTCATCCCACACAAACGCATTGTCCGCCATCAACTAGCCCGTTGCTTGCCTTCAAAAGCTTTGTAAAAGGGTTTACCTTGCTCACATCAGGATCGCGGAATAAAGTTTAAAAAAAATAATGTCAAATAATCGGGAAACAATCTCTGGGTTAACTTTATTTTTTAAGCCTTCCCTTCGCACACCTGCCTATTGCTTGCGAGACTGGAACTTTAGGATAGCATCCATGCACTCAGGCCCAAGCCACAATTCCTTGAGGGTTTGGCACTCAAGGTGGTTAATTTCCTGCAGTTCCTTCACGGCCGCAGCTGAGCGGATCAGCGCCTTGGAGCGCTGCATGGATTGCGGATAGCGAGACAGCAGTAAGTCCACCTTCGCCTGTACTTGGGTGTCAAAGTCAGCGGCGCCGAACATTGCAGTAGCCAAACCGGTATCCACAGCGTCCTTGGCACTCAATTTCTCACCGAGCAGCAGCATGGCGTTGGCACGAGCAGGTCCCATTATACGCGGGAACAATAGCGACGAACACGCTTCAGGCGATTGACCCAGCGACGTGAACGGCGTGTGGAACGTCGCTGTCTCCTTGACATACACCAAGTCGCAGAGTCCCAAGATGGTGGTCGCGATGCCCACCGCTGGCCCCTGAACGGCTGCGACGATCGGCTTCGGGTACGTGATGAAGGTGTCGACTATGTTCTCCAGCAGCACAGCGCCCTTATCTGCCATCGCTTCTAGCGACAGTCCGTCTGGGTTGGACGTGAACATGCTCAGGTCATTACCGCTGGAGAAGTACTCGCCTGTGCTCTTGAGTAGCACAGCCTTGACTTTATCTTGCGTCTTGGAGCTCTCCAGCGCTTTGGTTAAAACCTCGTACATGCCAATGTCGATGGCGTTGAACTTCTTGGGGCGGTTCAACTGGATTGTCAACAGCCCTGCGTCCCTATCATTACAACAGCAATAACAACTAAAAAAAAAACCTAGTCTACAAGCCAATAAATCTGGTCGAAAACGTACGAAATCTCGACAAGAAGATCTTCAGACCCAGCAGAAGCCGTAGCTGCCGCTGCAGCCTGTTCTTCTTCTCCCTTTGCGCCACTCTTGGCCGCCAGTTCGTCAATAATGGCGATATATTTCAGCTTCGCGTCGTCCTGGGTCATGTCGCCTAGCTTCGTCCATGCGTCCCATTTGGCTCGACCCACAAAGTCCAGCATGCCCGGCTTTGAGGTCGTGTTCTTGCCCAGATTGGCCTGTTTGAAGAGCGCATACATCTCGAGTTTGGCTGCGTTGTCCGACAGCGGGGGCAGCGTCTTGCCAAGAGCCACGCTGCGTTCGAAACGCTCCGAAGTGGACGACATGTTGGCTGTCAGTAGGAGCTGCACAGAGCGGGTGTTAGTGGGAGGAATGCGGAGTCGCAGTGCGCGAGGAAGCATGGCTTTGCCACAAGTGTATCCTTTTGCAAGTACCTTTTCGGATAGGAAAGTGATGAACCCGACGTGGAACCGGCGTGCGAAAACCTGCTGACACGCATTTTGTATGCCATCCGTGAGGATCAAAGAAAAAAAAAACTTCAAGGTAAAGTTGCCTTTCGGTGCGATCATCTCAAATCCCAATCTCGCTGTTGCTGTGCTGAAAAATAATATGGAGAGGACATACGAATGCACAGCAAAACGCCGCACACTCAGCTCCGATATTTACATTATTTTCGTGTCCAAGTGAGCTTTTGCGATCATCTTGAAGCAGTCTCTTCGTATCTCTTTGTTAATAAACGGCTCAGCATTCGTCCAAATGGTGACATCATCGCGCACTTTAGCTGCAATGTAGCTCCGAGTCGGAAGTTAGGTAGGTAGCAACATGCAAATGGAGACGATGAAGTTGAACCCCGTTCAAATGGCTACACTTCCGTCTCGATGGTCGACACATGTCACTATGTCACTATTCTGCGCAACAATTGGCCCAACGAGCAGCTCCAAAGTAGCGTTGCCACCATGGCCAAGTCGCTGAACCCGATGGAGGCGTACCGCCGCGAGCAGAAGAAGAAAGAGCTCAAGAAGCACCGACTGGAGCGACAGAAGGATAAGCAGGCTAAGCTCAGTGCCATGGATCCGGTGGAGATCCGGGAGCAGCTCAAGAATCTCGAGCGCCAAGTGGCTGCAAACCCCACGGACGGCCCCACACGCAAGCGCAAGCAGGAACTGGAGGACACACTGCGGGCGGTCGTCAAGAAGCAGAAGGAAATGGTAGACGAAGAGCGCAAGAAACAGGCGAATGCACCGCCGCCACCGCCAAAGGTAAGAAATTATATGAGACGAGGGAGAGTGACTGAAATACTGACTCAAATTGTTGCTGCAGAGTATGGCGGAGTTGACACAAGCCAACAAGGAAAAGTACCAGAACCCAGAGAACTCCATCTATTACCATCCGACACTGAATCCGTTTGGAGCGCCGCCACCAGGCAAGCCGCAAGTGTACCGCAATATGCCGGCGGGGACTGTCGTCGGAGCTGCACCGAGAGGCCCACCAAGACAGGGACGGCCGCAGCATCGACAATTTACGAGCACAAGAGATGGTGGAGGTATAGTACCTCCACCTCCGCCAATGCAGCAGCCTCGCACAATGGCGCGGCGGCCTGGAAAGCGACCACCGCTGCCGCCTGGACCCCCACCTCCGGGAACGATCCAGGTACCTCCGAGACCACCATTACCGAGTGGGGTGCTGCCTGCTCGGCCACCTCCTCCACCACCTGCAAATGCTCGAGCTACCGATAGAATGGTACCTCCTCCGCCTCCACCGCCGCCGCAACAGCCACGCGAAATGATACCGCCTCCTCCGCCCTATCCAATGATGGCTACTGATGATACAGCGATGCAGACTGGTAATACAGCAGCAGTCAATGTGGAAGATGGCCACGTTATAGCCCCATACCCGACGACAGACGAGAGCGAAGATAACAGCGTCGTTGCTCCCTATCCGCCACCCGATGAACCCACAGAAGACGAAGAAATGGACGAAGAGGCTGCTGAGCGTGCAGCTGAGGGTCAAGCACAGCTCCGTTCGCTCGTACCCGTAGCACTTCGTGTGCAGCGTCAAATTCCTGCAGCCCCCAGCTCCAGCGTTGCCAGTGCTCCGCCCATTCCAGCCCCTCGACGTCCAGTTCCTGCCCCTCCAGCCCCGGCACCTCGACCGTCAGTTAGAGCCACCCCTCCACCTCCTCGACCCATGCCACCCAAACCAACAGACAGCAACTCCGTGTCTAACGAGTTCGACACCTTCATGGAGGAAGTTAAGGGATTGCTGTAGCTACAAGTTTTAGCGCTTCAAGCGTCCGTTCAGAACCAACAAGTATCACATCTACACTACGCTACGGTAGTATAATGACTGGGGTGAAGGCGATCTGGATTGGCGAAACGAAACAAGTTGTTTCAACCAACGCATTAGTATATGGAGTACACCAAGTTCGACATTGAAATGAACAGCCCAGCGATGAAAAGGTGATTACGATCTCCTGACCATACACTGGGAAGCGTTTTTTTTACCTACAAATATTTTTTATGGAACATTGTTGTACGACACCGATAACCATCTTTCAAAAACAAGCAAATATAAATGAGTTACACACATTCATTTCTTAGAAAATTAACTTCATTTCTGTTTCATATAGGGAATGGTGAATCCTTTCCTGGATAAAATACCAAAATCATCAAAACAAGATTTCCACGTAATTAACACATATTATACTTGAAGTACGAAGTAAGTGGGCTTGCGAATGTAAGCAAATTCTGCAGGATTGTTGTTTGCTGTTGTATTATTGACGTTGAATCAGACACTAAGGTCTTTACTTGTTCGGGTAGATGTCGATTGCCCACACCTGAACCCTGAACAGGCCAACTATTTTTTGACCCGGTTGTTCTGGCTGAACTTACTTGATTTGGCCCAGCGCGGTACAGATAGATGTTCCATCGTCGTGCACGTCGCAGTATGTTCCCTCTTCACATGCGACGGTGATGTCACACTCGCCACCGAGTGGCACGGCGGCAAGTGCAGCGTCGGCCAAAACCACCAGGGCGGCAACAGTCAGGGCGAGAATTAGAGACGGCTTGAACATGAGAAATTGCTTGTCAGGTCGGGACTCGTGGAGGCGAAATGCGAAATGCCGAGTACGAAAGGAAAATACGTGGGCTTACGCTGTAAGAGATGCCTGTTATTTTGGCAGAATCAATTTCTTGAAGCTTTGCCCTGGACAAAGCTTCGAACGCCTTGTTGGGAACCCCAAAGCATACATACGATTCCAACTTGGGATCGTTGTTGTGCTGGGCAAGATTATCACGGGGATGGTATTGCATGTATGTCGCATTGTTGCAATATATTTACAGCATTTGGCAATGTACAGCACCAAGGTCATTGATAATGTAAAAAATGTAAGAAGAAAAAGTTTGGCTCGAGTTTAAATTCCGATCTACCGTGCAAATTCATAAAATGATAAGGTAAGTTATGGCTTCAAGAAAAATGTACAATACTCACCTTATTCTTTTAAAAAATTCCTTTTTTAACGGCAAGATCCGCACATTTTCATTTTCTCCCCTCTGTCTAAGGCGTTCCATCCTACCATGACAGGGTACGTTTTCATTAGCACCATCATTGCAGCTTACCAGCCATTCGATCCAGATAGAGCCAGCATCATCATTAGTTGTTTACCAACAGTGCAATCCTAATTGCATTTACCGTGAAATTAGCCGTTTTTTGTCCTTTACTCGAGACTTAGAAGTGCTGGCCTATTAGGCCGTCTGACACATCAACGAGAAGGAAGCAGGGCGCTCAGTTTTGAAACTAGCATCGAGGATACAGGCAGGAGGCGTATTCCCCAGGTGTATGGAATGCAATACGTTGTTATGTTGGCTCCAGTTTAAAGGGAAAATCGAAACAAAGCACTGCCACTTCTTAATTTGAAAAATAAAGTTAAAAGAAGAAAGTCGTAAGAAAGTAATGTATAGAAGCAACAGTGAAAACTACTCTTTGAGTTTTTTTCTTACCGAATACAACAGAGAAAAAAATCCACCACTTTTGGTGATTTTGGAGAAAAATGACAATAAACTTTTTTTGTTTTGAATGTCGTTTTCAATGCATTTAAGCGGGCTTCCAATGACAGAATCAGCTGGACATTTTCATTCATTTCCATCGGTCGTAAGGGCTGTGTTAAGCTGGTGCCTGTAGTGCTCGAACTTTAAGTCGTTGCGTGTACGAGATAAAGACAGAGAACTTTGACGCCGGTAGTTCGATCCGTTTTCCATGTACGTCAGTGTAGCAATGCATACTAGCTTCGCGTGGTCGGGACGTACGCAGCCACGAGAAGATCCTAGGGTCATCAGCTTTGTCGAAACGGTGCACCATTGATTCGATGGCATCGCACCAGCTAAACCGTATAATTTGGCGATTCGCTCAGTTAGGGAATTCTTTTCAGCTACTGTAACATGTACAATAAATATTGATAAGAAATCTGAAGTTTTACTACGAACAAATTTAGCGCCGGCCATACAACTTTGAGGGGAATGGGAAAAAATCTTTCGAGAGATCTGATTGGCTGGGATGGCATGGTTCATTTGGGTTATTCGAAGCCCAAATCAAAAAAGTCAAACTTTGGGTCGTAATAAAATATGCTTGGATGGCATTCAGACGAAAAAAATCCATTATAATTTTAATGGGTTTTTTCGTCTGAATGCCATCCAACGGTTGGAAACTGCCCAATTATGTCGGGTCTATGCAACAACGTTCTGATGATTGCCCAATTTATCAGAATCAGATATTGTTCTGTTAGTCGTTCAGTGTACAACAATGCTCCGATCTCGCATATTCGCCGCCCGTATCGCTCGCAATGGACTAGCGCGCATGATCTCCATGGGGGAGGGCATCTCTGGAGCCCCAGTCTGCGTACTAGCCATTCTGGAGCAGCATAAGGCCTTTCTCAGCAACCTGGATGGCGCCGTGTATACCTTCCACAGCCCCCTTGTCGAGGGCTCAGTCGGGCAACACACGCGGCACTCGCTAAATCACCTACGCAAGCCACTTGAGCTTCTAGCTGCCCGCCAGCAAGGAAACGACGAAGATATGGTGCGTTACGACATCCGCGATCGCCATACGCCCGTGGAGAAGGACCGTCATGCGGCCATTCAGCAGATCGAGCCGTTAGAGAACTGCTCGTCGCTGCTTCTGGTTGTGCATGGCAATTGTAGCCGGGTACTGCTTCTGCGCGAACAATATGCACGCTTTACATACGGCAATTTCCATATCCACGAGCTTGGCGCTGTGTCTCCCTCGCGATTTAAATGTCTTCTTTACTCTGCAACTCCAACACAATGGTGTCGCACAAAGTGCACAGGTATTGTCGTCACCAGGGTGGGTACTGCGTCGTCTCGACAACATACTTCTCTTCTTCAAACAATTTCCGCAGGTACTTGGCTCTACTTTGCCGCTTTGTGCCAATTCCGAAGCTTGCTCTCGCCGCTTGATGCTTTTATTTTCAATACACCACTGCAGCTTTTTCGTCTCCGATAGCTGCGGGGAGTTCCAGAAGCCCAACGTAGATTCCCACATCGCAGCGATCACTACTTTATCCACTAGGCGACCTTGAGGCTCCACGTACATCTGGATGTATACGTCCACCGCACCTTTTTCAAATTGTCGGTAGATAGCACCATACATGAGCTTACCACGTATCATGGGTTTTGGAAGTGCTGGACATTGTGGCAGGTCGATCGATTGGACTACCTCGTACCCGATGCGCTCGCCATTCGGACGACTAACAACGCCTGTCGCAGTCACGATGACGAAATCACGTGGACGCACTACCTTGTTGAGTGGCCAACTTTGCTCCCCCACCATCCACGTTATCCCCATGAACTGGAACGGATCGGCCTCTGTTGGCCCAGCGAGCTGCGCCAACACGGCACCATCTAGTGGCTGTTTACCGAGCGTCTCGGACCGGACCTGCATAGCGAGGAAGTCGGGAATTTCCAACCCGAACATGACCTCACTTAGATTGCTCTCGATTGTCCCGACGGCCAATAACACGCATGGGTTTTCCCAGATGTCACCTGGAAGATGAAGATCTCGAGGAGTACATGTATTGCTGGTTCGTTCAGAATACAGCGAAGCGTTTGTCTGCGTCCTCAGTTGCTTCCAGCGCGTGCTGTCGAGGTTCGCATGATGTCGTGGAGAGCCCGAGAGGGGGTTTCTGCAGGCATCTCGCTCGTCATAGCTGCGCAGCGTGCGGTCTAAGAGCTGGAACGTGAGATCTTGACAGAGTTGCTGCTGGTCGAGCGTCAGGTTCAGTGGCGCGAATGGTACCTCCCTCCGACCGTCGGGCGTCATTGCCGAGTGCTCTCTAGGCGGTCGATTGGAATGTGAGACCGTGGGCTCGTGACAAGCAGGTTGCTTCGTCTTCCGCCGTCATCCTTTGAAAGCTCTCGAGCGTACTTGTACACACGCAGACGCTGTAATCACGGACTCGCTTTTGGATTGCATCGCTTGTCAGGTGAAGATGGAGGCGACTTCAATCTGTGGCCTCGTTTGTGACTCACAAACGAGGCCAACAGTGCTCACATTTTGTCTTCTGCAGAGGGAATGAAGCAGATCGCGCGTTCGTGCGAGCAGATGTCGACAGGCGAGAGGCTTTACTATACTACTAGTACATGGTACATTAACGTGGTCTCTAAGGGGGTCTAGGGGTACTCTAGATGCAATTTTATGCACAAGTGGAGCGGACGATGTAACCTAATCCATTACGTCCGTCCACTAGCGTACGCTCAGAGAAGATCGCGTGGAGGAAGCGCAGCAGGTAAGCGACGATCGCGCGAGATAGCAACGTGTAGAGGCATCGACAGCAACCAAGACTCACAGAAAAGTTGTATTGCAATTAGATCTGACTGCTGTCCAAGTTTCAAGTGATTCTGACGCAAGTTAGTGGAGCAGATAATGTAAATTGCAAACAAAACGAGGCGAATCGCTGCCATTTTCTATCAAAACTCCTGCTCTTGTGAGGATGCTATCTGAAAGCACTACGTAAACTATCTGAGGCAGAGTTCCATAGTCTAATAGACGTTGCTGCTCTTCGATTCTCGCCCGCAAGTAATCCGTCCTCTTCTCCATCACCTTCGCAGCGTATGCGGACACTGCCAACGCGGCGCCTGCTAGACATCCTTTTTGGACGGTGAGGCTTTCGTTGGTGAAGAAAAGAATGTAGCAAGCCAATCCCAAGCCGATGCAGGCGACAATCCACTGTCCATAGGCAAGTCTTGTGATACATCTTGTTCTATCACAGCGCGATCAGCCACTAACAACAGCGAAATGACTTCTGTAACTGCGACTTACGATTGTACCGAAGAATGCGAAGACTTTTCTTGACGTACTCCGGAATGTCGACCAGAACGTGGATGTCACCGTCTTCAGCATCTTCTTCGTTTGGGAAACCGAACGCTGTGTTAAGCAGACGATAGCTTGCATCCATTTCACCATTTTGCTTCATGATGTCTTTGATTTGAGCAGGAACATTGCCATCTTCCAGTCGCTTGACACTCGGATCGCTCGTCTTCAGCCAATTGTCGCCCTTCTTCGCGGCATAAAGCTTGAGGTCCTTTGGAGCAAATGTATAGTCGTTCTCCTCCACAATCATCTTCTTCAGTTGCCATACTTTCTTCCAATCCTCGATCTCCACTCCAAAGACGCTCTCATCTCCGATCACCACACACGTCAACGACTTCATTGCTTGCTGGCAACTTGGAGAATGAGGAGAAAGAACATCAGATTATTTTAACCATTCAGATCACTCCAAAATATTTCTGACAAACATATTCCTCAATATATAGATACTAAATAAAAGTGAGTTCATCTTGAGCGATAAAAAATAAATATATAGAAATAACAATGTGTAAGTAACAACGGACAGAAAACAAATAATACTAGAATGTATTACCAAAAGTAATACAAACAATCGGATGTTTTTTAATACTGTAAAAAAGTATCACTATTTAAGTATTGTTATGTAGTGACATCTCCGCTCGGTTGATAGGTTACATGCACTAGCATTGTGAGACGACGGGTTGGCAGCTGACGAGCGCACGTACTCAAACACAGCGGCTTGGCAGTAGGCAGGTCCCAGTACCGGGCGGTCTTGTCATCAGAGCACGACAGCACGTGCACATTATCGGCTGAGAAGCAGGTGCTGCGGATGGCGGCAGTGTGGCCCTTGAAAGAACGCAGAATTGCACGAGTGTTAATGTCCAGCACCTGAACGTAGGGAGCTTCTCCACCTGCTACCAACAGTTTGCCGTCCGAGCGGAACGTGCCGGAGTACACGACGTCGCGGAAACGACTGAAAGTCTTAACGATTTCGTTGGTCGTGGTGCTGTATAGGTGAATGCGCGTGGACGAGGTGATCGCTACTTGGTGCGGCGCAACGGGCGAGACGTCGATGTGCGTGACGGGGCCAACCTGCTGCAGCTCTTGCGGCGCATGAAACTTCTTCCAGTACGAGTTCTCGGCGGTCTCCACCTCGTTCGTAGCCGGGAACTGCTTAAGCACCAGGCGCTTGAACTCGCTGGTCGCCATTGTAACCCCAAGAGGTGGTCTGTTGAGCTGGATCAAGTAGTGTCTTGCTGTTGAAGCAAAATGCCGAATACGGCGTCGCTACTATTCACGCTGCCTCTGGAACTTGCAACCATACAAATGATAGCCAAAAAAATACTAAAAAAAAAAAAAAGATTTACTAATACGAGGAGGCCAACGCGAGCTCTTCCTGTGAAAAGTATGGTGTTCGATCTATTCCTTTTCGGATTGACGCACCGACGTAGATCACGAGCCGGTTGGCAAGAACTACTGATAGCACAACATTCTTAACAGTACCAACTCACCTCCCGAGACCACCAAATATTGTATCCTGTAGCTTAGGTTTAGCAGACAAATAGAGCAGAGGTGTGTGAGTAAAAAGCTCAAAGTCCTGTATCTCAGATGTCTTATGCTTCTCCAGGCTGCCACGCTGTTGACTTGATCTCGCTGTCAAGAATAATGCACTTTGTCACCAGCGCATTGGGGGGGG